CCTGAGGAGAGTGGGGGCTGGGCAGGGCTGGGCTGGGACGGGACGGGTCGGGACGGGTCTTCCTCGTCTTGCTCCTGCCTCCCCGCGGCGCTCCGGGAGGGGTTGTCTCCTCTTTGTGGAGAAAGGGAGAGGGCTGGGCTCGGCCTTGTTCTGGGCTCGGCCGTGACCCGCGTCCCGCGGTCCTTGCAGCTCCTGCACGTCCCTGTGGTTTTTGGCACACTCGGGCTGCATGAACTTTTACGGGTCAAAATAAACACCTTCCCTTCCCTTCCCCGCAGGGTTGTTTGTAGTGGCTCCGGAAACCCTTGTAATTGTCATATTACCAACTTTTAAACCTGTTACTGGGTCGAAAGCTACCTTGTAATAACCGTTAAAGCTAGGTGATGTTTTACAGACACTTGCTCTGAGTTGGTGACAGGATCTGGCCGGGATAGCGTTATTTAGATTTTTATTATTATTATTTTTAATGCCTAACTACATTTTAAAGGACATCTGTTTGTTACTTAATGGTAGCACAAATGTGGCAATCACAAAACTGTTTATTTGGAAGTAAATAACATAGGACAACATCAGATTAAAGAAGTGATCATAACAAGTCTAATTATACTGATGCTTAGTACTTGGCTGGAGTGTTTTTGCTTGAAGAGCCTGTTTTAAAAGGGTGAATCTGCATTATTAGGTATCTAAAATTGGTAGTCCATTGAGTCTGATTCTTGCATTGTATAGAAACTCTGTTTTACCAAGTTTCCATACAGTTTTAAATCAAAGTAGAGAATCATGTACATATATTCTCTGCAGTGTGTCTGATATCTTCTTCCTCCAACCCTGAGTCACATGTAGGGATGTGCATAGTGGGAAACATAGCAAGGAATGTAAGGTGCTTGACAAAGCATGAGTCTGCTTACTCTGTTCCTCTGTTGGCTAAGGAAATATTGGTGCTAAAAGTCATGATTACATGAATACCCTTTCTTTAAGAACTGTGCTGGCGATTGCTGGGGAAGACTTTTCTATCGTTGCTTCCGACACGCGACTGAGTGAAGGTTACGCCATTCACTGCCGGGACAGCCCAAAATGCTACAAACTGTAAGTCCAGGTCCTGTAAGAACTGGTACAGATGGAAGATCTTTTGTATGGATGAGCATGTCACCTGCCTGGAATGATCTGTCACTTTCTTTAAGCATAATTCTCAGGAAAAAAAAAAAAAAGGGTAGTAACAAAATTGATTTTGGAGTCATGGTGACTGTTGCTGTAACGCAGGACATGATGTGATGCCGTAAATACAGCCAGATTTCTTGTTGCTCTTGAAGTTACCTGATAACAGAAAGTTTTTAGTGTGATACAAGACTTGATGTAAGCTAGGGTTTTTGGGGTTTTTTTGGCTGGATAATCAGAAGAAATTTTGTCTTAAATGTAGCAGAACTTATTCCTGTGGTATCGAGTTCTGCTTCATCAGGACACCTGGTGTTGGTACACAAGTGTGTCCACTGCTGCCAGTTGTGCCGTGTCTCTTTAGCCACCCACCTGGCACTTTGAAGAGATGTTTATTTTAGGAGAAGTAATCTTGTCAGTAGCTCCATTATTGAACTTTTAATGCTTGTTGCATGCTTACCTTGGCTCACCTAGATGGCATCCCCTTGGTTTAAAAATACATATTGTGTACGTTCTTTTGAGTGTGCTTGTGCTTACCCAGCAGGCTGCTATCAGCTATGTAAACAACTTTGATTTTTTTAAATTGATGACACAAGATCATATGAAATTGTGTTTCTCCTGGCTAACTCCTTACTGTATTTTTGACTTTCTGATACTGTGCAAATGGAAATTACCGTGGTACAATCTACATACTGCACATGATGGCTTTGTGTAATTCTAGTGACGGGCTGAGAGAGGGTTTCAATTGAAATTATTTCCTGCATGAGTGCTCTGTAGTGCTCTGTAAGTGTCTGGGAATGTTGGTGGACTCTCAGCAGTTTACTAGAATTTAAATTTCAGACGTGCATTCCTGTAGTTAGTGTCCATGAAGCGTTTTGAAACTGAGCAAAGAGCCAGCCTTCTACAGTGCATCTGCAGGCAGATAACTGCTGCTGTGCTGGCACAGAAACCCACAAATTCTTCTGCTGGCACAGAAACCCGTAAATCTTGCATAACCGTTTTACAGTCTTAATCCTCTGGCTGGGTAGAGTGTAACTGGGCTGAGTGATGTGATGTAACAGGCTCCCCATCTCAAAACAGACCCTCTAGCAAGACTGGATGGTAGCAGCTGGAGTTAGGGGTGTGTGAAGAAATGGAGAGTTTCTTTCTGTCAGTCTTGCTCTGGAGGTCGGTGGATTGAGGAGAGACATCTGCGTGGTCCTGTGCTTAATGAGTCCTCTCCAAGATGAAGGCTGCAGTTACCTTTTATATGCAAAATGTTGGTTGCTACATTCTACACAACTGTCTGTGACAGCATTGGAGAAACTGAAAATACATTTGGTGTTTTCACAACAATCTGCTGTGTAAGGAAGTGCTGTAGTTCAGACGAAAAATAAAATCACAACAAAATTTTGCGTTTTACAGAACAGAACAAACGGTCATTGGGTGCAGTGGATTCCATGGTGACTGCCTTACCCTCACTAAAATTATTGAAGCAAGATTAAAGGTAGCTGTCTTACTGTATTTAGAAACTTAAATTCTTAGTATCACGTTTGAGACCAATAATGTGTTTTAAATATGTTTTTGCTATTTTTCTTGAAGTGTTTGTAGCATAACTGCATTGATAGTGAAAGATCAGGCGGGGGAAAGGGATGCTGTGTTCTTACTGAGTGTAACCTCACAGATGTAAAGAATGGAAGAGCTGGAGAGGATAATGGTAGTGAGGCAACATCTGTTCTTTGCAAAACTTTGGAGAAATCTTTTTGCCTTGTAAGAAGGCTTTACTTTTAGATCAGTGTGTTTTCAGTAATCATGCTAGTTAATGATCTTGCTTAGCATCAGATTATTCTGTAGTGAGGTTACAGAAAATGTAATGCTGATTGAGTGTTTGACTTTCTTCTTGGACGCTGTGTACCACTTGCAGATGTACAAGCATTCCAATAACAAGACCATGACCACTGGGGCTATTGCAGCAATGCTGTCTACCATTCTGTATTCTCGGCGCTTCTTCCCTTACTACGTTTACAACATAATTGGCGGGCTTGATGAAGAAGGTAAGACTTCAAACAAAGAAGAAAAAAAGGGAGGCTAAATGTCTTTGGGCGAATAGCTCCCCTTTACATCCCAGATGTACTGAGAGAGCAATGAAGTTTGTGTTCCTGTTCCCAACACCTGCCTTTAGCCATGACAATGCTTGCACAGGACAGATGCATATTATGCGTCCGACGTGTTTCCTGCTTTCTGCTACTGACTTGATCTTCCGTCTCTGAAGATCTGAAAGTGTAAGAACTATGCTGTAATTCTTTGATTACAAGCGAAATGTGCTAACATTGTTTACCTCATACTTGACTGTAGGCTGGAACACGTAACAGCTTTGCTGGATTTCTTAGTTGTGTCTTTAAAGGAGATATCAGCAGTAAAATTGTATATATTTTACTCAGGCCTGTGAGTGTGGTAGAGGTTATTAACTGTGAAGATTTTACTCCAGAGACAGGTTTCTACAAGGAGATTTTTAAATGTTAACTAACCTTTAATGAAAATCATGACTTCTGCGTGGAAGCTGTAGTTTAACATACAGCCCTTCCAGGACTTACTGGGCTCTTGTCCAATGATTTGATTGAGTTGTTAAAATACTGTGTTCTCTGGCTTTGAGCAGGAGCTCAGAGGTGGTCTTGTTTGGATAATATCAACCATTCCCCGCAGTTTGTTGTCATCATTAAGTTCTGCTGCTTTCCCAGCCTTGCTAAGACATGTCCATGATACGTGGAGTCTGGAAAGGGATTAGTCTGCCCTGCATAATGGTAAATCTCAGATGCTGAGGGTGCTGAAGCAGTCTATAAGAATCAGAGTGCAAGTCTGTGTGCATGGGCTTACTCTGGGTCCAGCACAATTGATGTGTTATTATTTAGTGTTACTTTCTAGATCTCTGCTCACTTTCTCAGGGCTGTTAGTTACCTGTGCCGTGCTGCCAAGGGCACTGTCCAGGTTATTAACTCAGGTGCAACCTGTCTGGACGGAAAGGGTGAGCTTGGCCAGGTGCTGTGTTGTGACTTGCATGTCCTCATCAAATCCTGATGCTTCAGAGCTGCAGCGTGTCTGCATCTCTGATGTGGGCACAAGCTAAGAAGCTTTGCACAGCCTGGGCTGACTCCAGAGGGAAGTGCCTGAGAGGCCAGAGCATCGTCCCTGGTTCCAGGAAGGCAGCGCAGAGGCACCCAAGCCCGTGCGCTCTCTGCAGGTAGTTTGGGGACTGTATCAGTCAAAATACACCATTCCAGAATGGTGGCTAAACTGCCCTGTGTGCTGACTTGAGAACCAGCACAGCTCTTTGTGCAGCACTGTGCTCTAGCACATCCTCCTGCTTCAGTTATTCTGCATCAGCACCTTTTCTGTGGCAAGTGCTGTAGGAAACACTGTTTGAGCATGCTTATAGCTTAAATATTAAAGATAGCTGTGGGCACTGTACCAGACCACAACCACAGTGAGCCTACTGAACAGAGCATTGTCTGAACATTCTGCACTGTTACTAGGTAAAGGTTTGCTGGGGTTTGTGGTACTCCAGAGACTGCTTATGGAGAGAGCTAATTTCTGATGGAAATACTTCTCAGTAGTGATAATCTTTCTGGATTGTGATTGTATACTTTTTTTTTTAATTATTATTATTATTTTTTTTTAGGGAAGGGGGCAGTATATAGCTTTGATCCAGTAGGCTCATACCAGAGAGATTCTTTCAAAGCAGGTGGATCAGCAAGTGCCATGCTGCAGCCTTTGCTTGACAACCAGGTAAAATAGTTCTCTCTCTGTTTTTTTTATTTTGTGTGTGTGTGGTTTTTTTTGTGTTTTTTTTTTTTTCTTTTCAGGGTTTTTTTGGGGTTTTTTATGATCTCAGTAAACATTTGTCACATTCAAATTAATGTAGCTTTACTTTTGGGGAATATCTCTTTAAATGAGTTACAGATAGGACTGCTTATCCATAAATTTACAAACTGTGGGGCTTTGCCTTCTCAGGAGAAATCAGAAAGTGTTGCTTTAGAATCTGTTCAGGTTTTTAATAAGCTACAAATAATGGTCTACCTGTTTAAAACACAGTTAAATGTTTTAGTTGGGAAGTGGTGTTTCCCATAGAAACTGGTTTTCTCCTGGCTGATAATACTCCTGTTCCTTAGCAGGAAATAATACTAAATTAAGAAGGTAGAATTAGTAGATATATATGATACATTTTATCATTTAACATACAGTTGTATAAAATTCTTAAGTTTTGTACAAGTCATTTACCATTTTCTAAGAATTCTCTTACATAAAACTGCTGGGAACTTAATTAAATCTGTCTAAAATAATTGAAGAATATTTTAATATTTAATTGAAGCCGTTAATTATTGAATAACAGAAATACCAAAGCAAGTTTTACTCATTTTATTCTCAGATATTGGTGTTGGGATTGTTAAGTCAATTGAGTCTGATGTCAAGACAACTTCTGTGCTTAAAAAAGCAATAAGCACTCCTACTTCTTATCAGCTGAGAAAGGAATAGAATCTTTCTTTTTCTTTATTTAAAAAAACAAAACAAAACCAAACTCCAGTTTTTCAACTTCGCCTTAGTTTTGAACTTCATTAACTGAAGAGAATAAAATATCTTCTGCAGAAACAAAGTTATCATAAGATACTTTTTAATGCTTACGAGTTTGGGGCGTAGTAAGAGACTCTTCCCCTGCTTTTCCAGTTCTGAGGTTAGGTGGACACTTAGGTCTATCAGCTAAAATGCACTATTTAGTAGGATCAGTTGAGCTCCAATATAGATTGCTGTTTTTGAATTCTAGGTACGTTTGCAAATATTTTCTTTTAAGAAATGTTCCTAACTGCAGAATGACTAGAGGACAGGCTTGTGTGCAGTTCTGATACTGCTAACTCACTGAGAAGGTTCTGAAAAATTAGATCAGGTTCAGATCTGAATGTTCATTGTGATCTTGTGTGTGCTGAATGGGTGGGAGGAGCTACTCTTGCTTTAAGTGGATCTGCTCCTAGTTACTTTTCTAAGAGAATTGGCATTGGCAGAGTTCTGATCATGCAGCTGTAAATGTGTGGAGGAACACTTTTGCCAGCTTGGGGTTTCTAAGCCAGACCAACCATTTTGTCTTTTAAGTTGTCTAAATCTGCTCATTGTAGTGCAGAGACTGAAACAGCTTTCACACTAGATGGAACATACTTCCTTTAAATTGCATTTTCATCTTTCCTTAGATTGGCTTCAAGAACATGCAAAATGTAGAACATGTACCTCTGACCCTGGAAAAAGCCTTGCAGCTGGTTAAAGATGTCTTCATTTCTGCTGCTGAGAGAGACGTGTACACTGGGGATGCACTTAAAATTTGCATTGTCACAAAAGATGGAATTAAAGAGGAAACTGTCCAGTTACGAAAAGACTAATTAAGTTCACTTATAAACACATAATGTATGATGCATATTTTACCTGTATTAAGATGACGTTTGTCTTATTAAATTTTTTCGAGAAGTTGGACTGCTGTAATGCTGAATATTTTCTCTCTTTGTTGGACGTGATAGTGCTTCTTAGAAAACTGTCTTTACCAGAGCAGTTCGTGGTAAGGATGAAGTTAAGTCGTAAGAGTCAGTTTGCTTTGGCTCATCTTAATCTATTGATCAATCCAATGTCAGTTTAATCCCCTTCTTGCCATCCCTCATGCTACAACATGGAGGAGTGTAAACCGGCTAAATTAGGGTACTGACTCTTCTGATAATACTTTCAGTTCAGCCTTGGTTTAGTGAGAAAAGCATTTGTTGTGTTTGTGCTGCCTCCTCTGCACTTCATAGCTTGCTTTTCCCATCTTCTCCTTTATTTTTCTGACATGCTGTCTTGGTATTTGACCTCTTTGTACTTATTTACAGAGACTATATAAATATGAGTTGCCTGAAACCAGTTTCTTTGTGTTAGAGGGAAGAATGGCATCTTCCAGAGTTTAGTGCTGGACTCTGCATCTGGGCTCACCTCTGTGTGTTTCTGTTTGGTTAACATCCAAAATCTGAAGCATCATCTTTTTCTGGCCACTGATGGACAATAACTTAGTATGGAGATTTCTGAATGCTTGTTAACGTCTGGAGGGTTTGTTAGCCCTGCTGCTGCTTTTGATTTTTGGGAAATTGCATCAAATTGTTGACTGTCTGATGGGCTGTATCACACTCCTGAAAATTGGCTTGAGTACTAGGACCTTCAGAAAGCAGAACTGCATCATCAAAAGCAAAATAATCTTCTCTTGCCCAGGAATCCTTTTACAGTCTGTAGCTATTTAGAAAAGGACATACAGAATAATAGAGTCATTCATCAAGTCCAGTCATAAACCTAACATCTACCTGTCTCTTAAATACCTCCAGGGGTGGTGACTGGACTATTTTCCTGGGCAGCCTGTTCCAATGCTTGACAACCCAAGTGAAGAATTTTTTCCTAATACCAAATCTAAACCATCCCTGGAGCAACTTGAGGCCCTTTCTTCCTGTCCTGTTACTTGGGAGAAGAGACCAACCCCACTGCTCTACACCCTCCTTTCAGGCAGTTGTAGAGAGTGAGGAGGTCTGCCCTCAGCCTCCTTTTCTCCAGGCTAAACAACCCCAGTTCCCTCAACCGCTCCTTATAAGACTTGTTCTGTAGATCCTTCACCAGCTTTTTTGCTCCTCTTTGAACGTGCTCCAGTGCCTCAGTGATATAAATGGTATAAAATACTGCATTGCTTGCGGTGGCAATACTTGATTTTTTGTAAGAACAATTTTGTGGATGTGTTTGACCCTACAGTGACCTTGTCTCCTGTGCGTGGGTGACCGAGTGCCTTCTGTGCAGCATTTCAGGTGCCATGCCCTTTCCCTAGCTCTGGGCTAGTGTTCTCCAGCGGTGGTAGTCTCAGCCTTTCCAGACAGTTTAAATGGAGAGTAACTTTTTTGGAACCTCAGTAGTCAGAGCTAGTGTATTTAAACTGACTCCAGCTGTGCTCAGGAAATGCGGTGAGTGGGAGCTTGGAGTGGCAGCTGCTTCCCAAAGCGTTGATGCCAAGAGCTGACCGCTGGGTGCCACTGTTGGGCAGAGCACGGAGGGAACACCTCACCCCTGGGTAGTAAGGAAGGAAGGAGCACGGCATCCCAGTCTGAGTAACACTGGGACTGAAGTCATTTGGTCGCCCAAGCTGGAACTTTGGGGCACGTTAGGTAACTTAGTGGGACATTTAAGGTTATTTGCAAAAGTCGACTTAAAAGGGACAAGGTTAGTTGTAGGAATGGCTGTGGAGCGATA